TCAGAACTTATTTATTATATAAATAATTTGTATTTATGCATATTGAACTTTCTTATTATTAATCCATTTAATATACCAAAGAACTTAATTGAGGCATAAACTCCCTAGCTAGTTTTAATCAATATTTAAGGATGAGAACATTTTATTAAATTTGTATAGTTAATAATATGGTCCCTTAATAGATGTAGCCATTGTGTAGTTGATATTTGGTATTTATTGTTCCAGTTGAGCAGTATAGTGTTTTTGGCGATAGCTAGAGATATGAGCAGAGGTTTTGAATGTTCAAAGTGAGGGTTAATTTGAGTTGATTTGATTTGATATCAATTCTCAAAAGCTACGAATCACTATTTTTTCAATATGTATTTCCACAAACATTGAACAGAATTTCTGATTGACGTTAATCGTATTACTAGTAGGGCTATGCCGGTAAATGTGTATGTGTTTTACATGAATATTATGTCACAAAGCTTTGTTTACAAATTAAATAATAGGTTAGCAATTAAATGTGACATCGCAGCCATGGAGACGTTTGGATTCGTGACGAATGTGAGTTGAGCGTGAGCCCATAAATGTAAGCTTTGTCGGCTTAGTATTGCGATCCGGTCTCCCGATTATCAGCGAATTTATCAATATTCCATTCGTTATTCCACTGGACATGGAATCTCTGGTTTCTTTTCCCAAATGTGATGCGATCTGGGAAAACCTAGCCTAGCGGCAACACATTTCATTTTTCAACCAGTGTGGTCTAGCAACTCTCCGTTGGCTTTCGAGCTGGAAAAACCAAACTCTAGTCAGGCCATTCACATCGTGTATAGAGTCGGCGGCGGGCGACAGTTGCGACGGTTCCCTGCTACTTGAAAACACAGAATGGCTTCTGCTGCGGGCGAACAGCGGTCCTTCAAATCGGCTTTGGCCGCGACTCTGGAGGACTCAGGAGTTAGGCCGTGTGTCCACCAAAGCGTTTTTCCACGCGCCTGGCGTATGTTTTCAATGGGAGCGCCGCGTTTTTAGAACGCCATGAGCGTAACGAGGCGCTGAACGTTTTTTTCACGCTGAAGCGCTGAGAGCTCTGCGTTTTTACTGGTCGCAGAGAGTTGAAGAATGTTCAACTTTGGGTAAAACGCAGCGCTCATCACTGTCACTTTTTACCCAGCCGTCCAATCACAGTGGAGGAGGGGCGGGACTTATACCACACCGAGCAACTGTCACAACATTCTTTCTGTACAACGACATCAACCAGCAGAGCTAACCGAACAAAATGGATGAAAAATAAATTTTTAGTATGAAACAAATTATCTGCGAAATCAGTTACAAGTAAACTGTGCTCCGGACATTCTGTATCATAGCAACGAAACGTCTCAACGGAAAAAACGCTGCGCTGCCAAAACGCTCTCAAGCGCCCACAGCTAGGCGTTTTCAGCAGAGAGTCTAGCGTTTTCAGCTGACTAAAAACGCTTTGGTGGACACACAGCCTTAAGCTTTTCTTTGAGAAAAGAACAAAGAACGGCACTTAAGTCATGTGTTCGTAGTTTTGCCGACCAGATACGGCAAAAGTTTAATCTATCAACTAGCTCCGCTAGGGTGCGTTTCCCGAAAGCATCGCTAACCAACTATGGTCGCAAGTTCCGTCGTTATCAGCAGTTCAACGAGTCGGTGTTTCCCGAAACCATCGTTCCAACGAACATTCGCAAACAGCATCGCAGAGGTGTGTGTTTGAGCGACAGATCGCGAGAAGCAGAGTTTCTTGTTTGCATGACATGTGGACTCAATAAATCCTTATCTTGAGCCAAATAATCAATCTGACATTCAGTGCAACCTGTGTCTTATATTTAGAATACATACAAATGTCATTTACGTCTTTTAGTTTGTCAAGAGATTTAAAGCGTCATGTTTGAAGAGTGCGCATGTGTGAACGAGCCTAACCTGCGCGTGACATCTGACGGGTTTTCCCAGATCGCATCACAAATCTTCACTCACGTCGGGGAATATAAACGTTTCTTCCTTTGGTGCGCTTTAAGAAGGCCTATTATTATCCGCGCTCTTTACTGTGGTGAAGTTCTTTTTAACACAGTTTGTGCTTGTTATTAGACTTGGTAAGGCACGTCAAGTTTATTTTGCGGGTGATTTTAGTTTCGCTTTCTCTGGCAGCGCAAAATCAAACAGCCTAAACGTCTCAAATCCGCTCTTTAGTTTTTACAACAAGTAGAAAACATGAAGATATCAGAAGAGATGGTCTTTCTGCTCGTTATCCCTCAAAGCTCAGCGTAGGCTAGCTTATATCACGTGTCCGTGTGTGGAAATATAAAACAAATGTTTTTTTTTAAATATTTAACTTTATTATATTATTTAAGTTAATATTATTTAATGATATTTATTTCAATGCTTTACAGGCTTTAGTTCATTGATGTTCATTGACGGAAGTGCTCAAATAAACACGCATGTCTGTTAGGAAATGGATGTTTGAGCCTCGTTTATTATTATTATTTTATTTAAAAATGTATTTAATTGAGGTGTGTGTGTGTATATATAGTATATATATATATAACACGCACCCCCAACCACCGCGCCACCGTCACAGCCCTAATTACTAGTCTTCTCCACTAGATGTCATCATGTCCAGTGTGTGTGACAGTGTGTGTGTGTGTGTGTGTGCGCGTGTGTGTGTGTGTGTGTGTGTGTTAGAGAAAGAGAGAGAGGTTGTGTGTGTGTGTGTGTGTGTGTGTGTGTCCAGCTGCAGATGGACTAGTTGGACACTTGTACCCCTTGTGTAAATTTAGCTTGTTTCAGGACACAGATATGAATTTTAATTATAAAGATGTTTAATATAGACATTTTAATTTCCCCTGTGAAACAATCACAGTGTTTTTGAGTCAGACTTTATTGGGCAGATTTATTTGAAAGTGAGCTCTTCAGGAAGTGTGGGCGCTTCTGATCTCACGAAGAGGAGATATTTCTTCATCACGCTCACATTTCCAGACGTGGTGAACACGCGCCTCGTGAACTCTGTACTGATGATGTTGACGTAATCTGGCGGGAGAACGCGCCAAAACACGCCACAGAAAACCGTAAAAATGTGCCGTGACCTTCATTTGCAACTCAAACACTTATTTGTATAATGAACAGTCGAGTTTTGTACAGACACATGTGTTTTGTTCAGGAAAAAAGACAAAAGAAAAAAGATATGAAACTGAAGCCTGTGTTTTATCACCCTTAATGAAGTTATTTTCAGGATTCTCAACCCTGTATTCTCTTCACTTTGGGTAGAAAAAAATGGAATATATATACTGTATATATATATGATAATGATCCTGTCTAAAGACTACGATTTTCACTATAAAATACTAATTCTGCCATAATTGTTGACTACTCTACAACTTTTTTGCTAAACAATAAACTCAATATTACAATATTGGGAATTTAAAGAGTGGATGTGCTTAATTGTAATGAAAATAATGTCTCAATGCTAAAAAAGTAACTGTTTTTAATGCAAAAAATGGGTAAAGTTGTGTAAAAAACAATTCTCCTATTTCTTTAATGTGAGAAAGATAAAACATCAGATTCACGCGAGATGACAGTCTTCTTCCAAAGCTTTATTTCTTCAGAAAGGAGTATGAATCACAACAGACAAAAAAACACTACAGAAATCCACAGATTTTCAGAAATATATTTACGTGCAGATGTTTATAAGGGTAATTATATAGCCCAAATGAATGGGTAGTTGATAAATAATTATAAATAAAAAAGGAAGTACAGTATTCAGACACTTAAGATGTCTAAATTTCTTCAAAACAAGTGGCATCTGTCCTCAAGTGATGCTCGAGCAAAACTAACACTGAATTATAGTCACTGAATTATATTATCCTTATTTTTAGTGGATCTGTGAAGTCAGTTTTCCTCAAGGTCACACATTGCTTCAGGTTTTCCAAGCAGAAATTGTCCAAGACGTTATTTCTGTTGTTTCATATTACAAACATTTTTTTGAGTGTGTTTGTGCTGCATTCTTTAAAATAAATGCCACTTGTTTTGGTATTTGCATATATAATTAAAAATCATAATTTTGGCAGCATTGCATATATTTGTAGGTCCTTTAAAGAGGTCATGACATGGATTAAAACGAAACAAAAATATTTTAGTATGTTCCTTGAGGTTCACTTACAGTAATTATTTTCAATCCTCTGTCTGAAATGATCAGTTTTTAAGGCGTGGCTCCTTTAAGGCTCGTCAGTAAACGCCCACTGTTGTGATTGGCTAACGACGTCACTGCATAGGAAACATATCAACACACACTTGCTATTGAAAACATTATCCAAATAATCCATAAGCATTATAAAACAATATAAGTCACCCAATATAAAAACAGGCCATTTTTGGAGCTTGATTAAACAAATGCAGGATATTTTAATGGTATAAAGTCCTCTTATATGTCAAAAGATCGAGGCAAATTTGATTTCTTATGTCATGACTCCTTTAACTTGTCAAAAAAGTATCTAAGGACAGTATTTTAATCACATTTTAACCTTCCCCAGTTGATTTAAATGCTTCTGCTGATGCTCTTTAGAGGTACAAATATTCCATGACGTCTTTCAATCAATATAAGATCATTACATTTATCTATTTACATTTATTCATTTAGCAGATTATATTATATATAAAAGAGGAACATCACACCCAATTTCCCAAAGAGACAAAAACATAGTGTTCGGCACGTACTACGGGACGCGGTGATGGAAAGAGAAACATGAGGTGGGTGGAAATATTATATTTAAATATATGATGATTTAAAAATTTTTAAAATATATGATTATTTTTGCAATAATTTTAAATGGAGTTTGCAGCACATATCAAGCCCACAAAAAAAGAAAATCACCATTAATGACGTTATTTTTAAGATTATCTCTTTGATTTTCATTATAAAGTTATAGGGTACTCTACAACATTTTTGCATAACAATAATGAAAATTATATTTTTCACTTTACAGTATTAAAGATTAAAGGAGTAAATGTGCTTAATTGTAACTGTTTAAATGTTCTCTTTATGCAAAATATGATTTCGGAATGGGTGAAAAACATGATAAATATGATTTTTGCACTTTCTCACATTTTCACCTGTGCACTTTTCAGATCTGTTGGAAATAATCCATAATGATGCAGACACTTGGATTGTAAGTAAACTCAGTGTGCATGTATCATATATTATTATAATGATAAAACTTGCAATTATTTTTGATGGACTTTGCAAAATATATCAAGTCCACAAAAGTAAATGTAAGTGTTAAGGACAAAATAATATGTTCTAAATTTATAAATATAAACAATAATAAGTAAATGTTTGAATCCATCACCACATGAATTGATCTCAGAAAAGTGAAGGTTATATGGACTTTAAATGGAGATAATGTGACGGCAAAGGGCTTGATTGAATCTTCATAAACCGTCACTCGACTCTCTCTCTCACTTGGTGCAGATGAAGTTGTGTGTCTCAGTTTCAGGAAGGCTGATCCAGAGCTGGTTGCTGGTCTGAATGGCTCCGGATCTCACTGTCGTAATGCAGTTCTCCTCCCCGGTGCCGTGACCCGGATCCCAGTGCTCATAGCACAGGGTCTGACCGTTGACCCAGAACCAGAGGCCGAGCACGCAGGAGTGACGGAGACCCAGCCACACGTGAGCAGTGGAGGCCATCGAGGACACGTTCTCCACCCGAAGCTGGATCTCCGGCGAGTCCACCGACACCAGGTCCATGTCTTCATCTCTGCAGTATTTCAGAGCTCCTGTCCACGTCAGATTCTGTCTGATCAGAACCAGTTTATCTGGAGCACAAACAGAAACAACAACGGTCACACTTTAGTTTAGGGTCCAAATCTCTATATTAACTAATCATTATGACTTTTACCTCAATAAACTCCTAATTACTGCTTATTAATAGTTAGTAAGGTAGTTAAGTTTAGGAATTGGGTGGATCAAGGGATGTAGAATATGATCATGCAGAATAATGCATTAATATGTGCTGATAAACAGCCAATATCCTAGTAATATGCATCCTATTAAGCACTAGTTAATAGTGAGAACTGGACCCCAAACTAAAGTGTTACCACAAAAACATTAAACATTTTTAGTTAAAATACAATCCTCCCAAAATGTTTAATTCTGTCATCATTTACTCGCACTCATGTCGTTCCAAACCCATAAGACTTTCCTTCATCTTTGAAATGCAAATTTAAATATTTTAATTCTGCGATATTTCTGTCCCTCCATTTGAAAATTCAAGTAAAAACTTAAATGATCTAGAATAGGGCTGTAACGATTCCTCGATTAAAGTCGAATACTCGATTTAAAAAAATACTCGATTGCAATTTACCCGTGTCAAGTAAATACCGTGGCAAAATACCGGAAGTGGCCATATACAGACGTGAATCCATGAACCGCATTATTACACCATTCTCTAAGGCTACGCGATCTATTTAAAACCATTTACAATCATGATATAGCATAGTGCTATCATGAAATCACAAAGGCTGTGATATGCGCAAAAATAAAACCCAAATGATTACTTCGATACTTTATTTGAACAAATAATTATTGCTTGTTATTATATATTTAGGTAACACTTTACAATAAGGTTCATTAGTTAACATTAATTAAAGCTGCAGTCCGCAGTGTTTCCTCTTTGTCGTCATCTCTGTTTGAAATCTGCAATTGCAGTTATTTCGCAGAATTATCAGCTTTACGTGAGTTGTGCCTCGACACGGCACAGCGCGGATGAACACAGTGTTTGAGGAGAGTGTGTGTGTGTCAGTCGCCGCCGGTGTGGATACTAGCGTTCACAACCACAGATTATTCTTTTTGGAAGTATGACCAACATAAGAGTTTTCACCGGAAAATGTCTGAACAAGTGACATCCACTTTTCTTCTCAACTAAGGGAAAAGAGCTTTGCAGTAAATCACGCTGATTAAATCTAACGATCGCTTATCATATCACGTCAAACTGTGCAAATTATACTTTGTTCTCAAATTGTTAATGTTCAACATCAGCATTGCGTGATGACATCTAAAGCCCTTCAGACATTATCCTGTGCTGCGTCCCAATTCGCTTACTTACACTACGCCCTAAAAGTATGTACTCTTTTTGGGAAGAGTAGGCAAGCTTTGGGACAAACTACTTCGCCATCTTTAACGGACGGCTCTGTCGCGTGCATCCTGTCACCGTAAACTGCCCTGTCAATCATCTCGTCACAGTTAAAATCCTCCATTCAATCTAATTTGATTTCCTACCGTTTCGGAGAGCACGTTCATCTGCCAGTCGTGGGTCTTTCATGCGGAGACTCTCCTCATGTGTTTGCAATTTGAATATAATGATGCATTTAAAAGGTAATGGCTAAACGTATCTTTACAAAAGTTCACAATGCTGCTGCAAATGCAATATAATGTGGACAACATTGAATAAATTAATTTTCGTCAGGTTAGATACTGACAATTAATCACTCAAACCCCTTTTATCTAAACCTCTCTACACAACCGTCGGACACGCGCGTCCTCCATGTCTGTAGTTTTTTTTAACACTTTTCACTTGTGTTTGTAGTTCTAACCGAATCCTCGTCCAACGGGCAATGGGTTGTGGGCAATATCAGCCGTTAGATTCTGCCCGGAAATAGTAGACCATGAGTGTCAAGTTGTAATCACGTATCGAATCAAAGGAAGATTTTATCAGCTGGTTCAGTGGCCAATTGTTTGGAGTTAGAAATATATAACTCGCGCTGCATATAATAGTAATTTTGCCTCAGATACAAGATTATACATTCGCTTTAACAAGCAGGTTCTTCATTACCACGGCAACCGCTTGCGTGTCATATTGAATGCGATTTTCGTGTTTAAAAAAGTAACTATACATAAGAGACGGAAATGATGCAGATAACTATACATTATTTAAGGTTATTTCTATTCGTTACGATATTGATATATGTTGTCAAGTAAGCTTCATGTTTTCCCCGTTGCGAGCGTGCGCTCCTCTAAACTGTAGCTACGGGTGCTGCACTGCTCTAGTTGACGGCTGTGCCTTCCCCCCGAGAATATCATGTTAACAACAACCCTTTAGAAAACGTAATTCCTTTGTGGATCCTCTTGATCTGCTTTCTCCATGTTTCTTTGACTAATCTCAGTGTCTCAGTCTCACGCACGCTGCACGCGAGTTAACCACGCCCACTTATTTACATGTCGCGGTATACACGGAATAAAAAAATCTGTTACGGTTGACATTTTCTACCGCGGTAACGATACCGTCATACCGCCCAGCCCTAGTGTGTACAGATGTGTGTGTACAGATGTGTGTGTGTACAGATGTGTGTGTGTACAGATGTGTGTGTGTACAGATGTGTGTGTGTACAGATGTGACATAATGACGCAAAGACATGCTCGAATCTCCCGCTGAAATCCACCAGTACCACTGGAGTTAAAAACATTATTACAAGCTTACCGCTGTGAATCGAGCTACGGCAAGCAGAGAGTGTTGAACACTGGCTGGTTATGTACTTGCTCAAACATTTATTTTGGATAATATTTAACCCAAAAAAGCTACGGACTGCAGCTTTAATGTATTAACCAACATGAACTAACAATGAACAATACATTTGTAACTATGTATTAATCTTTGTTAATGTTAGTTTCATTGTTTGTTCATGTTGATTCACAGTACATTAATGTTAACAAATACAACCTTTGATTTTAATAATGTATTAGTAAATGTTGAAATTAATATTATTAACTAAGATTAATAAATGCTGTAGAAGTATTGTTCATTCTTAGTATTGTTAACTACTGAACCATATTGTAAAGTGTTACCTATTTGTATTAAGGCTGTTGTTCACTTGGATCTATTTTTATTACCACTATTTATTTATCTGATTACTCGATTAATCGATGGAATAATCAGTAGAATACTTGATTACTAAAATAAGGTCATAAAGGCGTCATAAAATTAATCCATATAAATCGAGCGGTTTAATCCGGATTCAGATTAGGCTTTTATTTAAATCTAAAAATGATCACATTTAAACACAAATGCTTTTGTGCGTCACACGCTAGAACAGACCGGATTGGTTCTTTTGCATCATGTGATGCACGTCGAAGCTTCTGTATATGCCAGATGTGATATGTGTGTTTGTGAGGGTATAAAAGCCTAAATTAACTGGTCGTCATATAAAGTGATCGTATCTCTTCACACTCCACTCGATTCATATGGATTTGTTTTTCAACACCGTTTTGGATCTGGAAGTTGGAGGAACAGAAACCTCTCAGATTTCATTAAAAAATATCTTAATTTGTGTTTCAAGGTCGTTTGGTTTGAAATGAAATGAGGGTAAGTGAATGAAATGGATTTTTGGGTGAACTATCCACTATAATTAATAACCGAGTCAGGATCACGTGTGATCGGTATTTGCATTTGTTCAGATGATTGTGTGTGTGTGAGCGTCTTCTTACCGTCATAACACACAAAGGGATACATTTCTTTACATTCATCATCGGTCCATCGTCCTTGGTGGCCTTTGATATTAATCGCGGTGCAGACATCATCTCTGTTCTTATTGATATTGGGTTCACCAGTGAGCCAGTGTGTGAATGTGAAGCTGCTGTTATCTGACCAAACCCAGAGTCTCTTCAGACCGATCCAGGCTTTATCAGATGTAGTTAGGTTTTGTTCTATGATTTTCTTAGTCTCATTATTCTCACTCTGGTTCCTCACACTGACCAGATCTGTGTGATTCTGTCTACAATAACTCTGAGCTTCAGTCCAAGTCTTTGCCACATTTACAGGGACCCATGTTTTACTGCTGGCTTTAAAAGAGAAAGACATTTGTCTAATGAAGTGAAATATCACAGAAAGTAAATGCATAGAAAATAAGAAAATATAAGGACAAAGAAACAAGAACATAAGGACAAAAAGGACAAATCCACTAAATGCAATTATGGTTCATCATTCAAAACTAAAAGTGTTTTATTATTATTGTACATGAAAATACTCAATATGGTCTTTAATTAAGCACATATCTCTGTGTTGTGATCTTACAGCTGAACTCACCATTATAGCAGATGAATGGCCTTGTGGAACTACAGGCTTCATCATGCCATTGTCCATCAGCCTTCATCATAAAAACACAGTCTCCATCTCCTTCTGGTTGTGCTTTATATGGTGGTTGTGATTGTTGTGATGCTGGTGCCCAGTTCCTGTACTGGGACTCGTTTGCTGTGTAGAACGTGGGGTCATTCAGAGACCATATCCATGTTTTCTTCAGCCCGATCCAGACACGTCCAGGATCAGGGTTCACACTCTTTATGACCCGCTCTGCGTCGGTCTGATGTTGTGTGTCGGTGATTGTGGCCAGATCTGTGTATTTCTCTCTGCAGTGTGTCTGAGCTTCAGTCCAATTCTTTCTCTCATTCACAAAGTGATACTGACGCAAAGCGCCTGCAGACAAACTGACCACGGCTGAGAAGAGACACATTCAGATCTCAAACGATGATCTCACTGATTGATGACACACATTATCTTTCCCATTAAGGTGCAATATTTGCCACCTATAATTGATTATCTTTTTACCTTTATTTTACCTTTTTTTAACCTTATTAAACGAATGCTTCATCTTTTATGTCAAAATCTTGAATTTAAATTTATAAATTTGTTTAATAAAATATTTAAATAGTAAGTTAAATTTGAATAATTGGACTGTTACCAATCAAATAAAATCATATCAACCAAATCCAGATCTTCGCACTACAGAAGCTGCATCTGAAATGGCCTTTAGATTTATTCAGATTTTAATGCAACTGAGAGGTGAATGAATACATTTACACTGCAATTACAATCGCATAAATAATGTTATGAGATGTTTTAAATATAAAATTTGAATATAGAAATATGAAATGATGTGAAAAATTAAATTATTAAATATGAAACTAAAGTCATTGCAAGCAACTTTGGCCCTGAAACCCTATTGTAAATGTTACATTTTCCAAGGATCAGCATTCTCCCCTAAAACTAATCGGGGAGACCAAACCGTAAGTCATAGAGACTTGAAACTTTGAGGGCTGGTAGTTCTCACACCGTCTACAACATCACCACGGCTGGTCTCGATCGGCCTGACGGGGGCGCTACAGCGGGCAATAGTGTGAAATCGCTCATAACTCCTAAATCATTTGGCGTCGGCTCAAGTGTCTTATGTTGTTGGAATCCTTGTCCTTGACAGACAAAATGCCTTAGATTCGATCGTAGCCCTGGTGAAATTATTGGGTATTTTGCGAACTAGTCCTAGGTTTTTGGCCCGATCGGAACCAAACCAGTGCAGCAAGATTCTCTGGAGTCTGATTGTCAATAAATATAAAAAAAGTTGAAATTTGGATTCACGGTCTCTAAGGGCCTCCAAAATGTTCGAAGTGGGAGGAGCCACTTTTACCAAAATGGCTATAACTCGTGAAGGGAATGAGATATTTTCACCAAACTCTGCGCACTTATGTAAGACCTCAACAATATTTATATATATATATATATATATATATATATATATATATATATATATATATATATATATATATATATATATATATATATATATATATATTTTGTGTGTGAATATTGCACACCCCTTATGTACAGTATTATTTTTTATTTCTTTAGGTCTTAAAAAGCCTTAAATTTTACTTTTAAAAATGTGTTGCAGCTGTGGATGCACAAAGGTGGCTTTATTTCGAACTATTTTCATTGGCGAATTAGTGCAAAAAAAGAGAAAAATTAAAATCACTTTATATTGCCTAGGGATGCACCGATACCACTTTTTCCAGAACGAGACCGATAACGATACTTTCATTTTTTGTGCTCACCGATACCGTATAGCCGATACCTGTATTTTCACTGCATTTGTAATTTTTAAATGTATTGGTAAAGAAACCAAAAGAATATAAACCATATTAGTTGGCTTAATTAGTTCATCAAATAAATATTTCCTTCAGTTATTTTCATGCTTAATTAAGCCTGCTACAATGCATTGTATGAGCTTTTGTTACTTTTACTCTTCATTCTATTGCTCTATCATATTTTATCTTTCATTTAATAGTATAGCACATTTTTAGAGCAGCTCCAGCGGGGCTCAGTGCTGAGGATTGGGTCAGTGGTACAAATGTTTAGACACCAGTGAAATATCAATTCTTTATTCCAATTTTGATACTACAACAAAACCTACAGTAATCAATCAAATGTGAAAAAACACTGCATATTCATTACTGAATAAATTAAATATAGATGGATATTTTTGTAAAGTTACAAAAGGTTGCCTCTTTAATCAAGAGCAGTGAGTAAATTATTTGTCCTTTGTTTGATTAACATGAATCACAGCAGCAGGTTTATAAGACTGCTGCCCCTTTAAGACCCAACGCACAGACTCCATTTGAATATACTGTCTATGTTCACTTGCATTCGTCGGTATAAGCAAGAGTTGTGAAAGACAATTCAATTCAGTATTCGTGTGCTGAGACGCTGGTTTTCGGGGCGCGCGCTTTGGATGTTTGCGTTCATGGGACTTCTTGACTTGCACACTTCCTGTAATAATGTAGGGAATCACTCATTATACATAAATCAGTTAAAGGTGCCCTAGAATGTTTTTTTTAATTATTTTATAATGTTTCCTGGGTTACCCTTATAATGTTAGTATGTTTTTTAGATAAAAAATAATTATAATTTAGAAATAAATGGCATTTTTCCTAGCCTGCTTTTAGCCTCTGATTTGAACACTCTGTTTGAAGGGGCGTGTCTGCTGTGGGATTCAGTGTAACCGCGGCCACTGCTGTGATTGGCTGACATGCTTGCATATGAAAAAGCAACGCATTACATGTGAAACTCTCTCCCGAATACTTTTACTACTGCTATTATACGTTTTTACTATAACAGCTATCGAGAGACTAACGAATCGTGAGATGTTTTTAAAGTATTTAGATCTATTCCCATCACATAAAATGTTGCCGTGATGAGCATTGAGCAGACAGTGTGTTGATCGCGACAATGAAGATCTTATCATTGCAAAGCAGTTTCTGCACTCTCTCTGCTTTCCCCAATGCAAACACGATGATGTAAATACAGTAAGAGCTTCGTTGTGCAGTAACGTGCGTCATTGATTTCATAACGAGTTTGGCAAGTGTCCAGATAAACTCGCGCTGTGTGGAAAGATTGTTCTTTGATCGCTTTCTGTATATAATTTGTTCACAATTTAAATACGATTATTTTCATCCTACTAAAAGAAACGATGTGAAGCTGATATTTTAGTCACTGGCTTGACTTACTGATGCATAAACAGTATTGAACGATTTTGAGAGAAAGATTACCTGTCTGAACTTGAACAATTACACATCAGAAAGTGTTGCTTGGTAGCTCGATCCGAGGCCAGCTCTGTATTGGCCCAAGTTGAGGAAACAGCTTCGGCTGCGCAGTTCCGCCTGGCATTGAGGGCTGGCATTATGCAAATATTTGGAGGCGTACATATTAATGATCCCGACTATTGCGTCACAGTCGGTATTGTGTGGAGAACCGACCGTTTTTCAGGGGTGTTTTTCATAAACGTGAATTAAATGAGAACGCGAAAACAGTCCAGTTTGAGATTCACTCATGTCATGTCCATGCACTGAACTCTTGTTATTTGACTATAGCAAGGTAAATTCAATTTTGAATTATAGGTCAACTTTAACAGTTCATGTTTTACTTACATATACGATTTAGTTTTAATCCAAATAACACGTGCTGAGTGAACGATCAGCAATCAAGAGCATTCAACAGAAGTGCTCTCTCTCTCTCTCTCTCTCTCTCTCTCTCTCTCTCTCTTTCTCTTGTCAGTTAACATTAATAATAAGCTACATGCCTCGTTTTACTTTTTTTGCCATTGACATCCGACTGAACTACAAACTTTCCACTGAAGTCTGTGAAAAAGGGATGCACTCGGCCAGCTCGCGCGTCTGTGCTGCTGCGTGCTCAATCCACTGCGGGTTTTTCTCTTATCAGCTCGCGCACCACAGCTATGTGGTACTATATTTCGTTTAATATTCCACTAATAAGATACATTTACTTCATAGACAGCCTTCTTTTTTATTCCCATAATACTCTCTGTTGTCAGTGTTTCTTTGTCTGGACACAAGTGTACAAACGCTTCCTGGTATTGGTTGTTGGTATCGGAGCATTTTTACGAGTACATGAACTCAGTATCGGGCCCAATACGTATAGGTGCATTCCTAATATTAACTTTTTATTGAAGCATTGAATAAAATGGTTATCACATTTGCAATCGTTCTGATATTCTGTTTTGCTCGTGTGATGTTACTCACTATAGATATTAAAAACAAGAACTGAATCAGGGACATTTTTGCACCTGTATCTCGAAGTTGGGTGGCATTTTAATATAGGGATAGATAGGGATATGCACAGCACCACAAAGTGCAAATTGCCCTTCCTGCATTTTGGTTATGTGGAGTTGGACATTCAGGTGATGGGGGTAACAATACCCTGTTGCTGATTCTTGATAGTCCAAGACCAGAAGCATGGAGAAGCTAATTATTCACCTCCAGGAATTCTCGGCATGAAAATTGCTCAGCGCTGCAAACAGCTGATCTTGATAGAGTTCCATAATGCCCTGGAGGGAATGCTAGACTCAGATTGGCGAGATGCTTTCAATGAGGTACATGAAGAGGCACTAATTGGTGCAAGCTCTACAGTTCGACTAGGACATTTCAAAACGTATGTACCTGCTGTCTCTGTTGCCATGGTTCAGGTTTGAGGACATAAAGAGCTACCCAAGACTAAAGGGGTGGTCTTAATACTAAAACCGTGGCCAATGCTGCTGCCAGGGGGTTTGGTCCTCATGCCTACAGTTGTGTCAGTTGGTAAAGGAGTGTTTCCAGTACAAGTTCTGAATCTGGTGCCAGAAGATGTTTGGCTACCGCTGAAAGCAAGGCTTGGGGTAGTGTCCCAAGGTCGTCAGGTGGAGAGTGGTTCCTGCGACTTAACATTTCAATAGATTTCCCGAGATCATGAGGAAGTCACGGTCAGTGTGATGTCGATGATGGAGACCCAAGGTGACTTGCAGTGTCCCTCAGACAGGGTACAGAACTGGGGGGAACTCCGGACCAACAGGCAGAGTTGCGAGGATTGTTGAGGCAGTACGCAGATGTGTTCACTGTGTGTGACGAGGATCTTGGGTATACTGATCAGGTGAAACATGAGGTTCCTGTGAACAACGACATGCCCGTCACCCAAGCGTACAGACAGATAAATCAGTTCGAGGAGGTGAGGGAGCGTATTTCCGGACTGCTTAAGAAGGGAGTTAAGGAAAGTTCAAGTCCGTATGCGTCCCCGGTGGTCTTAGTCAGGAAGGCCGATGGGAGTCTGCGGCTATTCGTAGACTACCAGAAACTGAACTCGAAGACTCAGCGGGACATGTTTCCCCTGCCGCGGAT